CAAGTTACATGATTTATGTTGGACTTAATGTGCTTTGCGGTTGTATGCAGGATAAATGGAAAACCTTAGTTCACACCGCAAAAATCTCTCCTCAGCAAAGAAGGGGAGAGCCTGTTCCTCAGGAGCTTTTGGACAGAGTATTGGCTGCCCATTCTTACTGGTGCCAACACCAAGCTAAGCAACATGGCAAGCATCCGGGCAGTATTATGAAGATTACAGAGGCCCCGACTGATAAGACATGGAGCTAAAAGGTATCCGATTGTATGATGTAGAAAACAGGAAAAGTTGACAAACAGGGAAAGAAGACAAATGTACAAATGACCTAAATTTGTGTAAAAATTCTCACACCCACGGTATGATTCATTGCCGGCGTCTCTGCCTGAGGAGGTCGGCAAATGTAAATGGTTCGTTGGAATAAAGATCAGTCTAACAGAACTCACAGTTGTTTTAATTCAATTGATTTTATTTCATCATGATATGAAATGTAGAAATGTGAATGAACATCAACATGAATAAAGTTCTTTTATTGTCCTCTTCTGCGGCTCAATTTTTTCTTGCTGCTTCTGTCAATGTTCTTTGAGTTCCAGTGCCAACCATGTTGATGCTTGGCACATGAATTTTTCTCAATATATCCATATTTATTCATAATTGTTCACTTGTTTCCCAATTGCCATACTGTCAAAGTTCTCAGTCAGCTCCAATTTTGAGCCGGTCATGTGATGCTGGTAGCTTGCATTGGAAGTCCATCAAAGGTCTTTGTTTCAGAGATGGCTGCATGATTGGGGTTGCGTATAATTAACACCTTTCTGTTGGACTGAGTATTAAAGTATAGTTATATGATATTTTTGTACAAATTGCCAACTGAATTGGTGGCTCTATTAGTTTTTCTTTAAATTTTATGCGGGTGGCTCTATTAGTTAATATCTGACATACTAGCCCATTTGGCACGTGCCCAAGCACATGCTTAAATGAACAAAGAATTCTATCCATCCAGTTGGGTTACCTGTCAAGTTTGTAGTCTACTTCTCAACCTTTATTTTTTATATTTTTAAGAGGAGCGATAACATACTAAACATACACATATTACATGAAAACTAGGATTCCAACTCAGGACATTTCATGAGGGAGCATTTACTCCAAATCTCTACATTAGTGAGTCCTTTACTTCTCAGCCTCTTTTCTCCCCCATACCTACGTATGCTGTATTGGTCAGCAATTATCACAAGAAAGCAAATGTCTAAAAGTTGACCTAAAACCTCAAATGTTGAACAACAAGGCCCAAATCAGAAGTTGAACCCTAACCATTCTTGAAACAACTTTCCTTAAAGGGCACCATAAAGGGGCTTCTAAGAATTTGATTGATCTCCTCATTGTAATCACAAAAGCCAAGAGTTTATGAAGTATTAGATAAGCCTAACTATAAAAACCAACAGAGGAAAACCCACTGCAAATGATTGAAGATATAAATTGGTCCACATGCTACATTCTGTTTTTGGCCTATGCTTTTGTCCTTTTGTAAGTGTTGCTAAAATTCCAAGAACGATATAAATATTTTACCCACGAAGAATATACTATTGTGATCAATTCACTATTCACATTTGCGAGATAACTATTTTAGATTAAGATTGAAAACTACAAAATTCATCTAACTGTCAACTTTCACTCTTTTCCTGTTTTGAATGATTCATATTGTCATTGTACTTGGATTTTTTTATATAAAAAGTGTCCTAAATTGATAGGTAAATAATCACATTGGACGGCAGAGATTGTCCTTCCCCACTATAAATTTAAAAATAAAAGGCACAAACTCGAAGCTTCATCATCTTCAATGGCGCATTGGCCACAGTATCTTTCACGAGCCACAGTGAAGCTGTTGCTCTCCCTCTCTAGTTTTCTAGTTCTCTCACAAGGGCCTAAGTTCAGGTACTTATTCTTTATCTATCAGCTTCTTTGAATTCTTAAATCATTGTGCTACAACAAATGAATAAACTATGGCGATTTCTCTTCCTTTTTATTTGTATTTTTTTTTTCAAGAAAAGTTCAACCTTCTCTCAATAGAAACTGTGACTCAAACTGTAACAATTGTGGGTTTTTATAATTTTACCTGTTCATTTGCTTATGTCTTGTTATGCTTCTCATTCTGTTTGGGTCCTAAAGAAATCATTTTTATTACAGAGTATCATATCAAGTAATGAATAAAAAAGATGTATTTATACATGTCTTGTAGGTTTAATTTTTCTGGGTCTTGGTGCATGCAGAAATCTGATACTCTAAATGTGTTAGTCTGGAAAAAGCTGAGATATAGACAAAATTGAAGCATATTGGAGCTTTTGGGTCTTTAGTGTTGTGAATTGTACTTGCAATCTCAATGATCATGGACCAGTCTTTGAGTGAATTTTATGGTTCTAGTAATGAGTTGTTGGAATTGAGGAATGAAACTCTCTCGGCCTTATCAATCAGAATCTAGATACTGGAATCTGGAACAGTAGTTAATTTCTTGATCAAAACTGTGCAAGTACCCTCCTTGTGCCTCCCGGTCCAATTTCTAGTAATTTGGCCCCGGCTTTGAGCATGTACCCGGATGAATATTCACCCGAGGAATCTGATTTTAGTGATGTAGTTCTCGAGTACATTAGCCAAATGCTTATGGAAGAAGATACGGAAGAAAAAACTGAAATGTATCAGGAGTCTGCAGCACTTCAGGCTGCAGAGCAATCATATTATGAACTTCTTCAAGGGAATTCTTCTTCTCCTCCTTGTGACCTGATTCATTATGCTGATCACAACCATGAAAGTAATCCGTTGCATTGCAGTTATAACAGTACTACCCCTGGCAATACCAGAAGCATTAGAGATTGTGATTTGCTCGAATATAAGTCCTTGCATGTTGCTTCTCAGTCCACTTCTCTACCATTCCATGCACCATCAAATGAAACTGGTAATGTTGTAGATGGGTTTGCGGATTCCCCGGTGAGCATTCTTAGAGGTCCTGAATTTTCTAATGAGACTGAGTTGGTTATGCAATTTAAAAGAGGCTTTGAAGAAGCGAGTAGGTTTCTTCCAAATGCTAATTGTCTGAATGTTGATTTTGAAAGTAACACGTTGTCACTTAAAGAGGGCAAGGCAGAGGCTATAGGTATGGTAGTTGAGGTAGATAAGAAGAATGAGTACTCTTCTGATGGGTCAAGGGGAAAGAAGAATCCTTATCATGAGGATGTGAGTTTAGAAGTGGGGAAGAGTAACAAGCTGTCAGCAGTTTATACTGAATCAACAGTGAGTTCGGAAATGTTTGACAGGCATTTGCTAAACTGTGGACAAGGAGAATCTGCTCTCCGTGAAACTTTGCAGAATCGGACAATCAAGATTGTACAACAGAATGGTCAATCAAAGGGGTCAAGTGGTGGAAAAGCCCGTGGAAAGAGGCAGGGAGGTGAAAAGGATGTGGTGGATTTGAGAACTCTTCTAACGCTTTGTGCACAAGCTGTTGCAGCTAATGATGAGAGGACTGGCAATGAGTTACTTAAGCAGATCAGACAACATTCTTCTCCTATGGGAGATGCGATGCAGAGACTAGCTCACTATTTTGCTGATGGTCTTGAGGCACGCATGGCTGGATATGGTACTCCGATTTACAGAGACCTTATAACCAAGCCAGCATCAGCTGCAGATGTCTTGAAGGCTTACAATCTTTATCTTGACGCATGTCCATTTAAGAAGCTATCAAATTTCTTCTCAAATAAGACAATAATGAATGTAGCTGAGAAAGCAACAAGGCTCCACATAATTGATTTTGGTATCCATTATGGTTTTCAATGGCCTAGCCTCATACAAAATCTCTCTTCTAGGCCCGGTGGACCTCCAAAGCTTCGGATTACTGGGATTGATCTTCCACAACCAGGTTTCCGACCTGCAGAAATGGTTGAGGAGACTGGACGGCGGTTAGCAAACTATGCAGAAACTAATAAAGTTCCATTTGAATTCAATGCAATAGCACAAACGTGGGACACCGTTCAAATTGAGGATCTCAAAATTGATCGTGATGAGGTGCTTGTTGTAAATTCTGTACACAGATTAAGAAGACTACTTGATGAGACTGTGATGGTCGAAAGTCCGAAAGATATGGTTTTAAAACTGATCAGGAAGATCAATCCAGATGTCTTCACGCTGGCGATTGTTAACGGATCCTACAGTGCACCGTTCTTTCTCACAAGATTCCGGGAGGCTCTCTTCCACTTTTCGACAATGTTCGATATGCTTGAGACAAATGCCCCCCATGATGCTCCGGAGAGGATGCTTATTGAGAGGGAGATATTTGGTCGGCAGGCAATGAATGTCATTGCGTGCGAGGGTTCAGAGAGGATCGAGAGACCAGAGACATACAAGCAGTGGCAGGTGAGGAATTTGAGGGCTGGGTTTACACAACTTCCTTTGAATCAGGAGATTGTGAAGATAGCGAAGGACAGGCTGCAATCATGCTACCATAAAGATTTTGTAATTGATGAAGACAGCCAGTGGCTGCTGCTTGGATGGAAAGGGCGCATTGGCTATGCTCTTTCTTCTTGGAGGGCTGCTTGTTAAGAGTTGTTATTAGATTGTCTTTTGATGTACATAGTTTGTTGTTGTTAATTAAGGTAATGGATTAATTAAATACCTCTTATGTAAAATTAATTAAATATATTGCCAAATTTAAAAAAATTGAAAAAAAAATTTAGAACTTCGAATTGTAGGGCTTTACCCCGAAGGGAGCCCTTCCAGAAATTCTCGAAGGCACAGGGCTGAACCCAGGCCTAGGAGGGGGTTTGGAAATAGTTTTCAACCAGCAATAGACGCGCCTCGGTTAGAACCTCATAAGCTGCGTCATTGCCCCAAGCGCAAAGATGCTTTGTAAAGTGGGTCTCGTTCCTTTTTTATACATCCCCAGGCAACTCACCCTTTCTCACTCGGTCGATGTGGGACAAAAACAAACACCTTAATATTTATTTCACAATTCTAATATCAAACAAAAAGCTACCGACTTTTACCACCAAAACTTGGTTACCAAAGAAAAAAGTAATTTTTTTTTATCTCTGATGGGGTTGGGGTTTAGGGTTTTATAACGTTTTTTGAGAAGAAGAAAGCAGAAGAGAGAGGAGGGGTAAGATGAGTGGGGCAGGAAAACCAGATTTCTTCTACAGAGAGGCTCAACGCCTGGGTTATGTGGCTCGCTCCGCCTTCAAGGTATTGATTGATTTACGTATTTACCCAAAAATTGCTGGCTTCAATTGCTACTGATCCACCCATTTTTTGAGCAGCTACTTCAGATACAGAAGCAGTACAAGCTCATAACACCTGGCTCCACTGTTCTGGACCTTGGTTGTGCTCCCGGTGCTTGGCTGCAGGTCCCTTTTTCATTTCAAAATCCAAACTTTAATTCCACATACATATTTGCAGGCACAGGCTCATGGAATTTCTGGGTTTTGTAATTTTGGCAGGTGGCTTGCCAGAGCTTGGGTCCTGTAAAAAGTGGTGGTCTTGTTGTTGGGATTGATCTCAAGGTCTCATTTTTTGTTCACTTTTTAGTTAAATTTCCGTGCTTGATTTGTTTGTTCAATACTTTAGATAAAATAACTAGGTTGTGAAATGTGGAATGTGCAGAACAGAAGGTGAAGGTTCCAGCTGCTCACTGTGATTCGAGAGTTCAAACTGTTTGTGCTGACGTGATGAAACTCCCCAAAGCCCAAGTCAGGGAACTCTCTCCACAGGTATTGCAGTATAGGCTTCTTAAAGTTTATGTTAACAGTTATGTTTCAAGGGATCAAAATGCTTGTGCTAATTCATGTCTTTCGCTTGTGGGTACAATTCAAATGTTCACAAAAACTCGTCTTGCTGTTCTTTTAATTTAAGATTTTGTTCTCCTCTAACCCCGTTTCAGGATGTTTGAATGTGTGAAACAGATCATTTCTTGGTTCCTTGCAAAATTTTAAGATTGAAAAATCTTTCCATGAATTTCCAACTTATAAAAAACCAACCTTAGTTTTTGTCTAGGCAAGCATGATGTAGGAGTAAAAAGATTTATGGTTTTGCCATTGTCTTTGTGCAGCAGAAAGGGTTTTCTGTGATACTCTCAGATATGTGTCCCCTCGTTTCTGGGATCACTAGTAAAGATGCAGCTTTATCGCTTGAGTTAGGCATGCAAGCACTGGATTTGGCTGTTGGTGGAGCTGCCTTAGCTCATCCCAAAAATGAAATTCAAATGGAGGAAAGTAATGATGGGGCAATTACAAGTTCAGATGTTAATGGTGTATTGCGAAGAGGAGGCCATCTTGTGATAAAGCTTTTAGAGAGCGAGGATGTGCAAGGTTCTTTTTATAATCCTTTCTTTTTCCCCCTTTTTGGGTAACACAAGTGGTACTTGCTTCATTAAATTTCTGTTTGGATATTTTTTTTTTTACTGTCTTCTGGCTGTTTGTCTTGTAGAATTCAGCCGGATTTGCAAACCACTGTTTAGAAAGGCATCATTGTTGAGGCCTAAAGCTACAAGACCATCATCAAGAGAGATTTATGTGATATGTCAAGGTCTGCAGTCACAGGCAAAGATATAGAATCAAGAATGTATCCCGAATTTAGAAGTGGCAACAGTGAGTATTGAAGCCAAATTAATGTAACTGGTTAGCTTTAGATTTCCTTGTAAAGGTTCTGCTAAAAAGAATTTATCCTTTGACTATGAACTTCTGTATAATTTTGCAAAGACTTCTCTCTCTCCTGAAACAAACATTTGTGAACATTGTAGGCGAGACTAATAAACTGATCAAATGCAAGAGAGTGTGTTCTGAATTGGACCAACAATTTATCTTACTGAAATGTTTCTTATGAGAGATTGCCGTTAAAAGTTACTGAATGTAGGCTTTATATGATTTTCACTTCCATTTTCATGAACCAAGTTGTGATGGCATACACATTTTCTATGTGCTTGGGCTAAAATTGGGATGCGAAAAAGGAAAGTGGAAAGGAACAACTGATGAAATGTTATATCATTGAATTTCTTAACCTTCAAGGTTTTTACATATTAGACCAGAGACAAAATCCAAGACTTAAGTATCGAGTAAAAAGAATTAAAAAAAATGAAAGAAAATATCTGCCTCTCACTACTTATAAATCACAGTATCTCCATTTACAAAACAGGATCAGGGAAGTGTCTTCTTATAAATTACAGTATCTCCATTTACAAAATAGGATGAGGGAAGTATCTTCGTAAGTGTAACAGTCATCGAATCTGAGTTCTTCCTAGTGACCAAAGGCCTGTATCTTTGACTGGTGTCTGAAATACCAAACAAAAAAAGAAAGGATCAGAGATGTTGTCATTGTAGTTGGAGAGAAGATGATTGATGTATCTTGATATTGATGCTTACATGTGTCTTCACAGACGGGAAGACATTCCAGAATCGTAGAGTCTCATCCCCAGCACCAGTGACTATTGTCTGCAGTAAAGCAATTTCATTTGAGCTTGTTAAGAACAGAAATTTCAGCGTAAGCAAACATGAGTGTATGCGGAGCAAATCTTCAAGCTATAGAAAATGATGCAATACCTGACCATCTGGTGACATTGCAAGGTAAAGAACTCGCATGCTATGGCCAGTTAGGGTGGCAACCTATAAGAGTGCGTTCCAAAAGCAATTAAATAACTTGACACAATCCTACTTCTTATGGTTCAACTTGAAAGGAGATTTCCTAAAAAGCTAACCTTTCCCATGGATGGATACTTCCACACCATGATTTGGTTCTGGGAATATCCATGAGTGCTGACTATCTCATTCACATTCTTACTCCATGCAAGATTGCAGACCTGGCTTCCGGTGTCTATACTGTTCAATTGGTGGCCATTTGTCGTGTTCCAGAAGCGAATACATCTGTCAGCAGTTCCACCTCCAGATACAAGAAGGCCACTCTGGTGGGGTGACCAAGCAATGGCCTTGACTGCAGCTGTGTGCTCTGTCAGTCTCAAAGCTGGTTGCTGAGAGTGCTGGTTCCAGACCAAGAGCTGGTCACAAACAAGCCACTAAGTTAGCTATTGGCTAACTACCAGTAAAACACAGAAGAGAGCAAGAGAAGAGAAGAAAAAAGAATGAACAAGTTAGTAACATATACCTGGTTATCATTGCCTCCAGATGCAAGTTCCCTGTCATCATTGGACCATTTCAGCCCGCATACCTGAGGAATTGAAATTTTTAGAAGGGTTAGTATTGCTTTTGTTTGACCAAGAACTGTTTAATTGGTTATAGGTCATTAAGAAAAAGTCTTTTAAAGTATTCACCTCAGACTTGTGGCCAACAAGCTTGCTGATGCAGTCGTTTGAGACCCGAAGATCGTGTTGAAGTATGTTCCGGTCCCGGCTTCCTGAAGCTAATATGCGTGAGTTCCATGCCAAGACACCAGTCCTTGTTTGATGCCCGCCCATTGTTCGGACCCTCTTGCACTGAGTCCCATCCCAAACCTAGAACAAAGGCCACAATTAATGGTCATCTCAAACTCTTTCTTCATGAGAACGAAAATACTATCAAGTCAAATAAATAGCTACCTGAACTCGACCAAGATTTGTGCCAATCGATAAATATGAACCCTCCTTTGTCCATTGGACAGAGCATACCCCGTCATTAGGCCCCAAGTCACACAGTTTTGTCACCTGAGAAAAGCAATGTTATGACAAACTTCAATCGCAAATTTTACAAACCAATTTAAATAAAGGACACTTTGATAAAGACAACTTGCTCATTAGATTTTGCAAACATGGAATGGACAAAATTGAAATCTATGCTATTTACCCAGTAGTATCAAACTCATTACTTACCTTGCTGTTTGATGCACTCCACAGATAAACGCAGGTGCCCAGTCCAACTGCAAGGACATTTTGCGAGGACCAGTCCACAAGGTTCAAGTAAAAGTCATCTTGAAGTGATGGGGCATCCAGAACCTGCAAATCATTTAGAGCATTTCAAGATCAACCATTGCATTTCCCATATAAACTAGTAAAGTAACATAGCCCTCAATGATCAATCATTTCCTCTAATCAGATCCACTTGGTACTGCATTACAATTTACTGACAGAAAGGTATTAAGATTATAGCCTCACATTCAGCTAATTCAGCTACTTTATTGAACAAACAGGGGAAGAGCAGGGGTTTAGTTACCTTATGGGGTGTCTTGGGGACCTTGCGAGGAGGCTTAGGAGGCGTTAAAGACTCGTTAGAAAACCCACTATCATTTCTCAGAATGGACGGCGAATAAGGCGAGTTGGGTGCCGAGTGATCAGTCTTGAACCGCAACATGTTCTTGCTGGGACTCAGAGGCGACGGCACACCACCACCACCACCTGCAGGAGAAAAAGACCCAAAATCAGACCCGAAAAGCTCAGATTTCAACAACCTGGCATAGGCCTCGTTGCCGCCTTCTTTGACGGGAGAGGCCTTGTCATTGAGCCCAAATGTGTGAAGCCTCGAGGAAGATCTGCAAGGTATGAATCTGTCGCTGCAAGTCGAGGACTTGGAGGGGGAAGACAGGTTCGATATCGCCCGAAAAGAACCCGAAAAAGACTCGAGGCGCAGCGACGTCTCGGACATCCCAGTTGGGAGGTTGAGCCCTGCTTTTCTTGTTTGAGGTGAATCCATTGCTGGGTTTTCTTGGATGATCTGATTCTTGGTTCCTCGGAAGATTTGGGTTGTTGGGTCTGAAGAAGAATATGATGATATCATATGGGAAATGTTAATGTAATGAGGTTTGAATGGAGATAGAGGAGGCCAAGAACCGAAAATGGAAGGAAAGGCCTCTCTCTCTCTTTTTCTCTCTGTGTTGTTCAGTGTGGAGGAAGACTTGCAACGGTCGAATATTGGTGGGGTTTATAGGAGCGGTCTTGGTCTTGGGCTCTGCTTTCCTTTTATTTTTTATTTTCAATAAATATTTGTTATTGTAATATTGTACGCTGTCTGTGCAATGCGCAAGTACATAAACGTAATGCTCCAACGGTCATTTTCCATTGATCGAGCTCATCTAAAGCTGGCAGTTTGGTTTAGGTACCAAAACCAAGCCCGTTGCTTCGAATTTTATTGATTTTAATTTTTGGCCTCGGGTGCTGCTGAGCCAGAGACGCCAGAGAGAGCTGCCCCCTGCACCTTTTACCATATATTCTTACCTTTTCTTTTGTGGGTTCGTGATGGAGGTGGTTTGAACGAGCCAAGTATCACTCTCGATAGAGATTCTCTAAACTTCACTTCCTAGATTGCCAATATTAACATGTCATATGCATCTACGTTTAACAGCTAATAACGCGACAAATGAAGGCAAAGTGTTATGGAAAAAAGAGCTGATTTCAGTGCCATCTAATAATACACATACAACAATAACTAGGGTGGTGACCAAAACAATCACAATGTGTAATATCGAAATTGGTATCTGCGAACAGAGTCTTCACCCTTCTCATAATAATCTTCCTTAGTGAAAGTTTGTGTTGGGAAATGGGAGGCGGCAGCATAAGCAGAAGCTCCACGCCATGCATCTAGAATTGGATCCAATGCTTTGACTATCCTTATGGGTGAACCACACGGCCTAATCATCCGGATTCCAGCCTCCAAGCGCTCACTCATACCAGGAAACAGACTACTACCACCAGTCAGAAAGACTGAACTGGTCAGCCTCTCCTCCAGCTCTTGGCCCTTCGTTGGCAGCCTCCTTATCGACACCCCAGCCATCTCATCTAAGCCTGCCTGATCTATCCCAATCCAGTTGGGATTAAATAAAATTTCAGGGCATCGAAACCTTTCAACGCCAAAAAAGATTTGAAAATCTTCCTGGGTGAGCGGACGAAACCGTGGTGCTTCAATGGATTGAGGGTTTGTGGTATCCGTTTTGGGAACAAATGTCGGGTCTACTTCCTGCCAAAACAAAATTATCCAAAATAAATAATGACGATCAACTGTAGTCACATCCAGCACTTAAGTGAACCAAAGTAAACAGACCTGAAGCCTAGAAGTGAGACGCGCCAGCTCTGCTTCATGCTCATCTGGTCCCTCATCATCATCATCGTTATCTTTGCTCATGAGTTTGTAAAGTTGCCAATCTTCATCTCTCGCACCAAAAGTATCCTCACCCTTGCCACGATCAAAAGCTGCTGTTGTCAATAGGCGCATCCTTTCCCTCTGTGCAGCATTTAATCTCTCACCACGCCCAACACTTCCAGAAAAACTATTTCCATTTGTATGTCCCCCATTTGTCTTAAGTCGTTTTCGCTGTTCAACTTTCTCAGAAAGATCTTTATATTTAGCATGCAACTGCTCTAAATAAAGCTCTGGGTTTTCTCTACAGCAAAGAGAGAGAGAAGAGCATAATTAACAAGGAGAGGTACACATTCCAGAACTTCTAAAATCATCAGGGGACTCTAGCATATTAAACATGTATTCAAAAGAATAAGCATTGTTAAAACCTAAGTGTTGTGCAAATTCAGGCAGAATGGTCTATTCCCTTCTTTTATCCTGCTCTCCCTTCTTCATAATATCCCAACTCAACTGAACCTCACAAAACCTTGTTTTCAACCCCATGTATTAACCTTCTCTTCTTAAACCCTGACCATAATAAATTGAATTTAAAGAAACAAAAATAAAAGCATAATGATGTCAGCACATACAAACGTTTTTGCTCATCTTGTTGATTTCTCCTTTCCCGCTCTAATTCTTCTTCATAACGTTTCTGTTTAGCTCGCTGCCGACCTTCAGATGTGGTTTTGAGAAACAACTGTCTCTTTTTCTCCTTGAGCTGTCAAGAGAACAGTAACAAAGACTAACATCAATGAAGGGAAA